ACGATTTTGACACATTCGCCAAGCCTCGACGAGAAGCTTGTCTCCCGCATCGACGATGTTCTGGGTCCGTACCTAAGAATTCTGTTTCTCTGTTTTTCATTCTTTCTGTTGGTCCCGCACTCACGCACATGACACGCACGCACGCACAGGTATCGACATTCCTCGGTTGATGGCAATGATCTCGCCGCCGAAGAAGGAGGAGCCAGCGCCGCCACTTCAGCGACAGCAGTCCAATCCGTTCGGCGGCGCCGGCGGCGACGACAACCCGTTCGAGGACGAGCCCGAGGACGAGGACTACGTGATCCGCGAGCGGGAGAAGGCGGCCTACGAGCGCCAGTTCCTCATGCTCAACCCGCAGGCTGGCAAGCTCAGCGGCGCGCAGGTCAAGACGGCGCTGGTCGAGACGGGCGTGGCCACGGGCGTGCTGCGCAAGGTGTGGACCCTGTCCGACATCGACAAGGACGGCAAGCTCGACCTCGACGAGTTCGCCATCGCCCTGCGGTACCGTCCGGCCCTTCTCCCATCTCTTTCGTGTGCGCGCTGTGCGGCGTGTGTGTGTGTGTGTGTGTGTGTGTGTGTGTGTGTGTGTGTGTGTGTGTGTGTGTGTGTGAGCGGTGGTGCGTGTGCGCACGACACTCACGCGTGGCTGTGGCTGTGGCCGTGTGTGCGCTGCACAGGCTGTGCGAGATTGCGAAGAAGTCGCCCGAGAATCCGATTCCGTTCGAGATGCTTCCGGCCTCCCTGGTGCCCCCCTCCAAGATGAGCTTCTTCACCAACCCGCAGTAGTCGTGGTGGTGGGTCAGGTGGTCGGACTGGTATGGGCGGAGCACGTTTTGGGGTTGTTGATGATATAAAATTGATCGACACGTTGCCCCTTCTACGTAACAAACAAGTGGTGTGGGTGTGTAAAATGTGTTTGTGTTTTGATCCATGGCCTGCGGGCTTACAGGCTGAGGGCGAGGGCGTCGACCAGCTCCGGAGCGAGTTCGGGGCACGCCTTGACGAGGCTGGCCAAGCCAGCCGGGCGGGTGTGCAGCGGAGGGAGCTCCGGCTTGTCGGGTCCGAGCAGGCCCGGTTCTTTGGCGGCCAAGTAGGAGCGGAACCGGAGAACATTCACGGGTCTGAGACACGACCTCAGCTGTTCTCCTTTGGCACTCGAGGAACGCATCCCGGAGGGATGGAACAACAAACCCGCCTCGGTGAGCGCGGTGTCGTAGGCCACCCGTGTCCAGGCATTCAGCCGTTCCTGCAGCGTCGCTGATAGCATTAGCCCACGCGTGGTGAACGACGCAGAGCCGGGGTTGGCGCTCCGGAATGCACTCATACCTGGAGCCGCATCAAGTTTGTGGTGGTCGCTTCGTCCAGAGGCTGCCTCTTGCAATCGAGCAGCCTTGAGATTCCGTGGTAGAGCCTGCATGACATGTGTGCCAATCAGTCGTGACACCAAACGGCCTTTTTCCGCACCTGATCTGCGCTGTAAGCTGACCACTGCATACTTGGCAAAGTCGCCCAAGTCGAACAGCTCAGGCTGCAGCATCTCCTCTGCGCGCTTGGGCTGTAAAGCCATGTCGTTGGTAGTGTAGTGTTTAGTGTTGTCCAGGTGACCACACGGCCCAACGGTAAAGATGTTGGCGTATGTACCACAGCACCGATGGCGTTTGGGGGCGCCAACTTCCAGTCCTGCCCATGTGACGCTGATAGCATCCAGCTTTAATAGGCGGCCTTAAGAGGGTGGGCGGCAACAATTCAAGGATGTCAATCTGGAGTTCAGGAGCACAGGAAAGCCATTGACATACAGCAGTGCACGCGATGGGGAAAAAGAGGCAAAGGGGTGGGAATGGTTGTTCTTGATTCAACAGTCATATACAACATCTCTATACATTACTAGCTTCCCTCAACACAGCATTCACACTCTTGTTTGGCCTCACATCAAGAGATTCTCTGTGCATCTATATAGAGCCACTCTCTATATATGATACTCATCACATTGGCAACAATGGCTACTTGATGTCTAAGAAGGTGAAGGGCAAGCTGCCAGTTGAGGCAGAAGCAAAGGTTAGCAAGGAGGAGGAAGAGGAGGAGGAGGAGGTTGAAGGTGGAGAGGATGAAGAGGTGGGAGAGGTTACCAAGAAGGGGACAACAAAGGTGAGTTCAGCTGGTGGACAGTCAAGTCAGTTCAATGGGGCAATGATGCCCTGCACTGATTTGGGGCCATCAGCCTGGACTATGATTGGCAAGTTGTGCAGGTGGTGGGCATGGATGTGCCCATGTCTATGATGGTGGATGAGGGCAGGGTCTCCATGCAAGTAGTGGCTGGTGTGACTATTCTGCTATGTGTGGCAGTCTTTGTCTGCTGTGTGGTTGTGGGGGATGTCAGAGACACATGAGTGTTCCTGGTGGAGGAGGAGGCTGACAAGGAGCTGACAAAGTCAGGAGCAGTGGTGGCACACAGTCTCTGCTGGGTATTGTGGAGCAAGGGTCACATGACAGCCTATGTGCATGTCATGAACCCAGAACTTGTGGTCATTTGAAATGAGAGGTCCAGTCATTTTGAAAAGTGATTTTGTTTGTGAGTTTAAGCTCATAAAAATGGTTTTGATAACACAAAAATGGTTTTATAACATGACAAAATTGGATGCATCTTGAGATATGGCAGATCAAAATTCCATCATAATGAGAGATGTGATACTGTGACTGGGCCAGCAGTCAAAGTCAAATTAGTTTGGTGTGGTTGGCATAATGTGAGGATTACTGGGGTAGCCAGTGTTCTTTATCTTATTGGCATGGTGGCAATTGTCATTGAGCACACACCTAGAGGAGGAAGCTTTTTTTCATGAATTGGGAAGTGAACAAAGGAGTTTATTTTAAAAGTTGGAAAGATTGGAAAGACAGAGTTTAGTATTCACTCCTATCCACATCAGAACCAGAGTGGAAAGGGGAAAGTGACCCAAGGTCAGGCAATTGGTCAATGTCAGAGTTGTGGCTTCTGTCCCTGCTCCAGCTCCTGCTGGCTCCTGCTCTTGTGGCACTTGTGTCACAATCCACAGCTGTGCTTGTGGCAGTCATTGTGGGCACTGCTGTGTCTGTGGGCGTGGGTGTCAGTATCCTCATGATCTCAATGCTTTCTCTTGTGCAATGGTTCCAAGTGAGGGGTTGTGGAGAGCTGAGACTGCTGTTGATTTTGAGAGTAAGTGATATATTTCATAACATACACATAAACAATGAAAAAAGGGCATGGGTGAATGAAAACCTGTGTAGGGGTGCTAGGAGCTGATGCCATGGAAGAAGGGTCAAGAAGAAGTGGAGGTACTGGATGAGATGTGGTGGTGGGTATGACCATGTGAGGTTGTGCAGCTGGGGGATGGATGCACTATGACCCCAACTGTGGGCTGGTGGGATGGAGGCCCCAGGACAAGATGGCTGGGAGTGGTGTGGTGATGGAGAGCAGCATGTTGGTCAAGGGTGGCAAGGCGTCTGGGAACAGTGTGGTGATGGAGAGTGGCATGTTGGTCAAGGGCAGCCAGGTGATGGAGAGTGGCGCAGTGGTCAAGGGCGGCTGGGCAGTGGTGAGCAGTGTGGCAACAGAGAGTGGCATATCAGTCAAGAGCGGCCAGGTGGTGGAGGTGGTGGAGAGTGGTGCAGTGGTCAAGGGTGGCCAGGTGGTGGTGAGTGGCACAGTGACAGAGAGTGGCATGTTGGTCAAGGGTGGCAAGGAGATGGAGAGCAACATGGTGGTGGAGGAAGATGAAGCAGAGGAGGGCGAGGAGGCAGAGAAGGAGGAGGAGAGCAATGAGATCTTGGTGGCCAAGGTGTTCATAGAGGAGGTTGTGTGTTGGCATGGGGCGCCTGAGGCACTGCTCTTGGACCAAGGGCAACAGTTCTTGAGCAAGGTGCTCAAGGAGGTCAATGAGTTATTGGGTGAAAAAGGTGAACACAGCACCTTACCTCCCCCAGACAGACAGCCTGGTCAAACACTTCAACAGCACACTCAGCCTTGGCAACACAAAGACCTTGGGCCACTCAAAGGTCTGTTGGCAAAGGTCACCAACAAGAAGCAGGACAACTGGGACCTCTACATGCCCTATGTGCTGTTTGCATACTGCACAAGCATGCATGAGGCCACACAGGACTCCCCATTCTACCTCCTCCATGGTTGGGAGGCCAACCTACCTGGTTGATGTGTTGGCTGGAGTCCTGATGGATGCCCTGGGAACCTCAACTCACCAGTATCAATTGGAACTTGTGGTCCAATATAGAGTGGCTCTATATAGATGTGCAGAGAATCTCTTGATGTGAGGCCAAACAAGAGTGTGAATGCTGTGTTGAGGGAAGCTAGTAATGTATAGAGATGTTGTATATGACTGTTGAGCCACTCTATATTTGATACTCATCACACCCACACGCTATAACACACGTGAGGAGCACATGTTGCAGCGACCGTGCAGAGAGGGGGGGAAACCTCGTCAGTTCCCTGGACAGCGCCTTCCAGTGCTGCGTTTTGCTTCTTGCCTGCTCGAAGAGCACTTCGAGGTCCTACCAAAATACCACCACCACAGATGGAGTGGTGGGCACCCACAATTTCATCATCAATTAGATGGAGGTAGTAGGAATTACCCGAGTGGGTGGTGTGAAGCTCAGCATGGGTGATAGTGGAATGGAAGACAGCGGCCACCCCTGACAGTGGATCCTCCAGATACAGATGCACAAACAGCTCTTACCACTTTAGGTAAGGAATCAACTGGGACCGCTTCAGGAGCACACTTGTCAGTTCCAGCCGAAGGGTATCTCTTTGGTCGGTGGTCATGCTCCTTGGGCGGAACCACAGCATCTCAGCTGTCACCTCTAAGCCGACAACCAGGATCACGTGAGCCAGCGCCATAGAGTAATGTCACTTACCTTGTCAGTGCAAAGAATCCAGGCTTCCTTCCATCAGGACCTGGTCCATGGTGGTACCTGCTTCTCCTTCTTCAACCAAGGCCAGCAGCCTGTAAAATTCTTTAACAAACTGGTGCGCAGCGTGGTGTAGAGCATAGCAACATCACACCAATCAATGAAGGAACAGAAAAGGAGCTTCATTACACTAGAGGATGGGGGCGGTGGTGGAGGTGGTGGCGGCCCTGGCCGTGGCGGGGTCGACGCCCTCGGAGATGAGCTTGCCCTCCTCCTTCTTGAGCTCGTTGCCCGTGATCGAGCCCTGCAGCTGCTTCACGGCGCCCTTCAGCCTCTGGCCCATCGTGGGCTTATGCGCCGCCGTCGTGCCCAGCGCGCCCTCCCGCGCCGCCAGCGGCACGTCCCTCATCACCGGAGTGGTCCCGCGGTGGCCCATCAGCCGCTCCTCCGTTGCCAGGGCGCGGCCGACGACTGGAATTTGAGGCAGCGGCTTCGCGTAGTGGAGCCCGCCAGCGGGGGCCGCGATGGTGACGGTGGGTTCGATGATGGGCGGGAGCATGACGGTGTGCTCCTGGTTGATCACCCGCTGCTCGGTCGTCACCTCCGTCTTGATCACCGGCTGGATGTGGTGCACCCGCTCGTGGATCACCGGCTGGATGTGGTGCTCGTGGTTGATCTGCACCGGGGCTTGGTTGGTGTTGGGTCGACATCTGGTCACCGAGAGCCAACCGGAGTGAGTCAGTATCCCCCGACATTTGAGGCTTGTTTTAGCAAAACGCGTTGGTCGGCCAAGGTGCCATTCGGAGCAGGCGTTTGCAACCAATCACCTCCCTCCGCCTACCAGGGGTTGACTATTTGTCGACTGTCGTTCGCTCGAAACAAGGCTCAGAAAGGCAATGATCTTTGTGTCGACGGATTCCGGAAATTCAAATGGCACGTCTTCGATTGGCTGGTTGGAATCGATCTGTTTTTCTACACTTTTTTGCCCTTTTGCCAGGCAGCGTCGGAGCCTTTACTCCCCCATCTCAAGTTGTTAATTCGCTGAACCGACCCCGAGGCCAAAACCTTTTTATTGTCCGGACAAGGTGACGTCACACGCCACTCCTGTCCACCACCCACGACCGGTGCGAGGTGGGATCGCGCTTTCCACCGCATTTCACCCCCAACCGGGCCGAATCTGCAGCGATGGGCGCCCGACCCTCTGGCCCACGTGCCTAAAGGCCACCCACCCTTTCCCTTCCATTCTCATACTCAAACCCAGAACCCTCAACCTCATCCCCACTCCCAACACCAACCACACGCGCCACATCACCCAGGTTCGGCTCTCTCGCCCACCTCCAACTTGGTTCCTGTGGATTGTCGTCGTTGTTGAGCGCACACGACAGGCATTAACCGCACACGCCCATGACACACGCACACGCACTTACAAGAATGTGTTTGGAATGTGCCGTTGTGTTCTGCACGCAGTAGAAAATGTCGCATCACGAGAGAAAGGCGGCCAAGCACGAGGAGAAGGCGGCCAAGCACGAGGAGCACCACCTCTTCGGCCGGCGACACTCCACCGACAAGCACGCCGCCACCTCCGTGCCCGTCACCACCGGCACCGGCCTCGGCACCACCACCACCACAGCCGAGGCCCTGGCCCGCGAGGGCGCGCCCGTTGTCCACACCGCCGCCGTGCCCGTCGTGCCGATGCAGGGCCTGTCGCTGGCCGACCGCGTGGTGCACGAGCCCGAGCAGGTCATCCGCCACGCGCCCCTCTTCGAGAAGGAGATCGTCAACGAGCGCACGCTCGAGGTCAAGCGCGAGCACCACATCCAGCCCATCGTGCACGAGACCGAGCACCGCATCCAGCCCATCATCAAGACCCAGGCCACCACCGAGCAGCCGTTCATCGTGCAGGACCGCAACGTCATGCTCGCGCCCATGGTCGAGCGCGCCGCGCTGCCCGCCGGCCTCGAGGCCGTTGAGCGCGTGGCGGCGGAGGGCATCATCCACGCGCCGCGGGTGGAGACGCTGGTGGTCAACGAGCGGCCGGTCGAGGTGCGGCGCGAGCACCACGTGCAGCCCATCATCCACGAGCGCGAGCACCGCATCCAGCCCATCATCAAGACCCAGGCCACCACCGAGCGGCCCATCATCGAACAGGACCGCAACGTCATGCACGCGCCCATCGTCGAGCGCGCCGCGCTGCCCGCTGGGCTCGAGGCGGTGGAGCGCGTGGCGGCGGAGGGCATCATCCACGCGCCGCGGGTGGACAGGCAGGTGGTGGTCGAGCACCCGGTCGAGGTGCGGCACGAGCGGCACATCCAGCCGGTGATCCACGAGCGCGAGCACCACATCCAGCCCATCATCAAGACCGAGGTGACGGCCGAGCAGACCCACATCAAGACCGACCGCAGCGTAATGCTCGAGCCCGTGGTCGAACGCGCCGCACTGCCGCTGGGCCTGGAGGCCGTCGAGCGATCCGGCCCCGAGGGCGTGCTCCACAGGGCCAAGCTCGAGAAGGAGGTCTTGGTCGAGCACCCGGTCGAGGTGCGGCACGAGCACCACATTCAGCCGGTGATCCACGAGCGGGTGCACCACATCCAGCCGGTGATCAGGACGGAGGTGACGACCGAGCAGCGGGTGATCAACCAGGAGCACACCGTCATGCTCCCGCCAATCATCGAACCCACCGTCATGACCAGGGCCGCGCCTGCCGTTCCCCTGGCAACCGCCGCGCCCGTGGTGGCCACCACGACACTGCCGCACATGGCCGGCGTGCTCAACCAGTCGAAGCCGCTGCCGCAAATCCCGGTTGTAGGCCGCGCGCACGAGCCCGTCGCCGTTCCCACGACGGCCACGACGGCCGTGCTGCCCGCGGAGCAGGGACTGGGGCCGACGGGGGTGGCGCGGGACGTGCCGCTGGCGGCGCGGGAGGGCGCGCTGGGCACGACGGCGGCGGCGCACAAGCCGACGGTGGGCCAGAGGCTGAAGGGCTCCATGAAGCAGCTGCAGGGCTCGATCACGGGCAACGAGCTCAAGAAGGAGGAGGGCAAGCTCATCTCCGAGGGCGTCGACCCCGCCACGGCCAGGGCCGCCACCACCTCCACCACCGCCCCCATCCTCTAATCATACTTGCGTGTAGGGCCAGCAAAAACACGTAATAACACTTACGTCATTGCACGATTATGGTGGTGGGACGATTATTTATTCTTATTATTTTTATTTACATTTGTATTTATTTGTTGTTTGTTGACGGGAAAGGCCTTCACTTCCTCCAGGAGGAGAACCAGGAGAAGGAGGGGGAGACAGACACGTTCTCGGCGGGGGCGTGCTGCTGGTTCTGGCGCAGTGCCACGTAGAGGCCCAAAAGCGTCCCCCAACGAGGAGGATGCCAGCGACGAGGGTGAAGTTGATGTTGGTGTTGTTGCTGCCGCTGACGGTACCGCTGCCGTTTATCACACCACTCGGGTTGTAAGAACCGTGATGAACGATGTGGCTGCCGCCCGTCGCAACAGAGCTGTTGGTGTTGGGTGGGCAAGGTAGTTGTTTGGCGCAAGTTGTATGGTGCCGAATAAAAAAACCACTTTTTTCAACGTGCCACGCAACAGGCCTGTTTCCGATAAATTCGACATTCAGATGCGCCGTGGCCAATTCCACCCACTCCCTGCGGTGGTGGTGACAACGGAGCTGTTGCCGTAGGCGACGTTGCTTTGTCCACCGCAGCTAAGTCCCACCACCATAACTGCGGCATCTTCGTCGTCGTTGTTGTGGTACCTTGGCGTGGTGGTGGCGTATGGTGGTGGTGGTGGTGGTATTTGGGTAGGTCCTCGAAGAGCTCTTCGATCGTGCAGGGAGCAAAACGGAGCACTGGAAGGCGCTGTCCAGGGAACTGACCCTCGAGGTTTCCCCCTCTCTTTGCGCGGTCGCAGCAACACGACGGGATCTACTCACACCCACCCACATGTGTGGGTTGTTATTGGGGGCGTGGTGGTGGGCAGGACTGGAAGTTGGCGCCCCCGGACGCCGGCAAAGGAGAACAGCTGAGGTCGTGTCTCAGACTCGCGAATGTTCTCCAGCTCCGCTCCTTGGCCGCGCAAGAACCGAGCCTGCTCGGACCCGACAAGCCGGAGCTCCCTCCGCTGCACACCCGCCCGGCTGGCCTGGCCAGCCTCGTCAAGGCGTGCCCCGAACTAGCTCCGGAGCTGGTCGACGCCCTCGCCCTCAGCCTGTAACCCCCCCCCCTGCAGGCCGTTGATCAAACAGAAAAAAAAACACAGTCTGTGCAGCGCACACACGGCCACAGCCACAGCCACGCGTGAGTGTCGTGCGCACACGCACATCGTCAAGCGCGCGGCGCTGCCCGTCGGGCTCGAGCCGTGGAGCGCGGGGCCAAGCAGGATCGAGAAAAATGATGGGATAACGTTTTATAAACAAGTGTGCTGGCGAAGAAGAAGATCTGTACACAGGGAGTGGAGGGGAGATGAACGGTTGACAGGTAATGACAGATCGCGGCGTGCGGTGTGGGTGTGGTCACACACACACACTACTTGGCTCTCGCGCTGCTGCCTCCCGACGCCTTCCTCCTCTTCTTGTTCGGCGGGCTATCCTTCTTGCTCGTCGTCTTCTTCTTCTTCTTCTTCGCGCTCTTCGGACCGTGAGCCTCGAACGCGCTGTTCTGCTCCTCGGCTCTTCCTCTCTTCCCACCGGCTGTCGCGGCAACCTCCTCCTCGTCCATCAAATCCTCTTCCTCCTCATCGCCGTCGCCGTCATCAAGCCTGGCCCTCTTCGGCCTGTTCAGTAGGCCTGCGTCTCGATCCGGTCGGGATTCCGCTGAGTCGCGGAGTCGTTTGGGGGTCGAACTTTTTTTTTTGAGTCGGCGGTGGCGGCCGTGTTAGGCCCCACCCGGAAGGTCAGCTTGCCGTTGGTGGCCGTGATGTGGACCATGCTGTCGTCCAGCAGCTCGCCCGCAATGATCATGCGCGACAACTGGTAACACACATACACACATACATAGATTCGCCAATGTTAAAGATAGGCAACATGTTGCGAAGAATGTGAAGACTGAAGCGTACCTGAGTGACGATGTGCTTCTCGAGGTAGCGGCGCAGAGGCCGGGCGCCGTAGAGGGGATCGTAGGCTTGGGCGAGGATGAGGTCCAGCGCGGATTCGTCGATGTCGAGGTGGATGTCGCGGTCCTCGAGGCGCTTGCCGACGGCCAGGACCTGCAGGCGGACGATGTTGTGGAGGTGCTTCTTGGAGAGCGGGTGGAAGATGACGATGTCGTCCATGCGGTTGAGGAACTCGGGCCGGAAGTGCATCTTGACCACGTTCATGACCTGGTCGCGGGCCGACTCCTTGAGCGTGCCCTCGGAGTCGACGCTCTTCAGGAGGATGTCGGAGCCCAGGTTCGAGGTGAGGATGATGACCACGTTCGAGAAGTCGACCACGCGGCCCTGGCCGTCGGTGAGGCGACCGTCGTCGAGCACCTGGAGCAGGATGTTGAGGACCTGCACATGGGCCTTCTCCACCTCGTCGAAGAGCACCACGGCGTAGGGGCGGCGACGGACAGCTTCGGTGAGCTGGCCACCTTCGTCGTGGCCCACGTAGCCGGGCGGGGCGCCGATGAGCCGGGCCACGGAGTGCTGCTCCATGTACTCGGACATGTCGATGCGGACCATGTTCTTCTCGTCGTCGAAGAGCTCGTGGGCGAGGGCCTTGGCCAGCTCGGTCTTGCCCACGCCGGTAGGGCCCAGGAAGAGGAACGAGCCGAGCGGCTGGTGCGGGCGCGACAGGCCGGCGCGCGAGCGCAGGATGGCCTCGGCGACGGCGTCGACGGCCTCCTCCTGGCCCACGACGCGCTCGTGGAGGTGCTCGGCGAGATGAAGCAGGCGCTGCTTCTCGGTCTGGTTGAGCTTGCTCACGGGGATGCCGGTCCAGCGCGAGATGACCTCGGCCACCTGCTCGGGGCCGACCACCTCGGAGAAGAGCTTGTTATCGGCCTTGCGTGAGGCGTCGGCCTGCTCCTTCTGGCGCTCGAGGGCGGCGATCCGCTTCTCGAGCTCGGGCACGGCGCCGTAGCGCAGATCGGCGGCGGTGGCGAGGTCCTTGCGTCGCTCGGCGGCGTCGGCCTTGAGCTTGAGGTCCTCGAGTCGCTTCTTGAGCGTGCGGATCTCGTCGAGCGCGCCCTTCTCCTGCTCGTAGCGCGCCTTGAGCGGGCTGATCTCCTCCTTGATGCGCGACAGCTCCTCCTTGATCTTCTCGATGCGCTGCTCGGTGGCCTTGTCCTTCGATTCCTTGTACTCCTTCTCCATGGCGGTGAGCTCGACCTCGAGCCTGAGACGGCGGCGCTCGAGCTGGTCGATCACCTCGGGCTGCGAGTCGAGCTGCACGCGGGTGTTGGCGCAGGCTTCGTCAATCAGATCGATGGCCTTGTCGGGCAGGAAGCGGTTGGTGATGTAGCGGGCGGCGAGCTGGGACGCCATGATCAAGGCCGAGTCCATGATGCGCACGCCGTGGTGGGCCTCGTACTTCTCCTTGAGCCCGCGCAGGATGCTCACGGTGTCCTCGACGCTGGGCTCGCCGACGTAGACCGGCTGGAAGCGCCGCTCGAACGCGGCGTCCTTCTCCACGTGCTTGCGGTACTCGGCCAGGGTGGTGGCGCCGATGCAGCGCAGCTCGCCGCGGGCGAGCATGGGCTTGAGCAGGTTGGCCGCGTCCATGGCGCCCTCGGCCTTGCCGGCGCCCAGCACGAGGTGGATCTCGTCGATGAAGAGGATGATCTTGCCCTCGGCCTCCTTGACCTCCTTGAGCACAGCCTTCAGTCGCTCCTCGAACTCGCCGCGGTACTTGGCGCCGGCCACGAGCGCGCCCATGTCGAGCGCGATGACGCGGCGGTCCTGGAGGTTGGTCGGCACGTCGCCGCGCACGATACGCTGTGCGAGGCCCTCCACGATGGCGGTCTTACCCACGCCGGGCTCGCCGATGAGCACCGGGTTGTTCTTCGTACGTCGGGACAGCACGCGAATGACTCGCCTGATCTCGTCGTCTCGACCTGTCGTGCAGCACAAGAAAAAACAGGAGATGTGAGAAACGAGATGTGCACAGATGTAAAGCAAGTCGGAGTGAAGATCTTCGTGAGTAGAGGGTAGGAAGAGGTACCGATGACTGGGTCGAGCTTGCCCTGCTCGGCGCTGGTGACGAGGTCGTGACCATACTTCATGAGGGCCTCGTAGGTCTCCTCGGCGTTCTTGCTGTCTACTCGTCGGCCGCCTCGACCTCGCGAACGGCCATCTCGAGCTTCTTCTTGTCCAGGCCGCACTCGTTCAGGGCGCCGGCAACGTCTGAGTCCGTGTGCAGAGCGAGCAGGATGTGATCGACGGCGAGATGCGAGTCGTTCTGCTTCTTCTGGATCTCGGTGGCCTCGCGCATCATGCGCACGAAGGCCTGGCCAGCACCGACCTCAGGCGGCGCTGGGCTCTGGGTGGCTTGTCGACTGAGGACCTTGCGCAGGGCGGCCTCGACCTTCTCGGGCGACGCACCAGCCTTGTTGGCGATGCTACGCGCAAGGCCATCCTCCTCGGCAAACAGCACTACGGCGAGATGTATGGGTGCCAGCTGGACGTGTGAGTGTTCCTCGGCCAGCTCCTTGGCCTTCGACACCGCCTCGGCCGTCTTCTCGGTCCAGTACTTGGGGTTGAGTGCCATTCTACAGAATGATTATGTGATTGTGTGATTTATGTGCAGAATCTCTTGAAATGAAGGGTTTCTTCCTGTGTCCTTCGAGCTGCAGTGCAGTCGTCTCGGGTACTTGCTGGTGTCTTGTTGTGGTGTGGTGAAATGGTGAGTCCAGGCTGCCTTCCACCTTCTTGTAGCGTGCGCCATTCTCATGGTGGTGTCTTCAGCTTCGCCCTCCGCCACTTTCAGCCCCACTCTCACCGCTCGTTGGCCTAAATTTCCTGCGCTCTTACCTGAATTCTCAATTTTGCCGACATTAGGAAGTGTAGCGGGTCGCCAACGACGCTGAAGAAGGGTACAAGGGGGTGGGCTTGAAGACATTCATTTTGTAGAGCTGGGGTGCTCGTGACAAAACGAGCGCACGGCTCTACACGATGTGATGGTGGTTGGCGGCGAGGCGGTCTTCCGCGACGACAGGTGGTGGGGCTCAGAGCGCGTGCAAAAAAAAGTGGTGTAAGTTATGTTCACCACGTCGAGTAGCCCACCTCCCTCATTGTCTCATCTCATTCGCCGTTTCCGTAGTCGTTGTTGATCGTTGTAGTTTAGTCGTCGCTCGTGGCGTCGCTCTCGTCGCTGTGCTTCTTGAGCTTCTTCTCCTCGGGCTTGAGGCTCTTGCTCAGGCCGCTGGCTTTCCGGCCTGAGGCGCTGTTCCTGGTGAGGTTGTTGCTGGAGCTGCGCTTGGACGGCACCGCGGAGCTTGATCCGCTGGCGGCGCCGTTCTTGGCGCTCTCGTCGTCGCTGCCGTCCTCGCTGTGCTTGAACTTGGCCATCATCTTGGACTTGAGCTGCTGGGGAATGTGGGCCAAGTCGCCCGCCGTAACGACGTGCTCCTCCCACTCGTCCGGGTGGGCGTTGCCCGCAGCTTGGCCGTGGTAAGGGTGGCCGTGGACCAGCTGGAAGTGGAGCGAGAG